GAACAAAGTTGGTGATGGTCTAACTTTTTGAAACCCAAGGGGCTATGGTGGTTCCACCCCCAAAGGCCACGGTCCTACCCTTTGAGGCTGAGACAGCTCTGCTTCCCATTTCCTTAGTCTCTCTGTTTCTGCCGATTAATGCCTGAGGGCAACCCACTCCACAGAAATCTTTCTGCTCCAAGGATACTTAGCTTTCTTGCTCTCTGGGCCGGCCAACCTCCTACTCCATTTTATGCCAGTCTCTTCACCAATTAATGCCTGAAGGCAACCCACTCTACCAGGAAACTGCCTACCCAGTGGCACCTGGCTATGTCCTCTGTGGGCTGGTAAGCCTGTTGCTATTTAATGCCGGTCTCTGGGCTCTGCTACTGCTGTCTTTCATGCTGGTCTCTCTGCCAGTATCTCTCTGCCAGTCTCGTGGCTCTGCTGTATGCTGGGGTCTCTCTGCCAGGGTCTCGAGTCAAGGGCGTACTCCATTCCTGTTTCCACATTTTCGGTATCGGTCAGAGTGACACCCTACTCCCAGTATCATATTCTGTTCTGGTTACCTGGTGACGCCCTGACAGGAATATACCACAAATGGGATGGCCTTAACATACAGGAGTTTATTCTCTTACAGTTTGGAGGCTTTAAGTCCAAGTTCACAGTGCCAGGTTCTAGGGGCTGGGTGAAAGCTCCTCAACCTTGGGGTCCAGCTCTGCCTCCTGCTCCCAGCCCACTGGAGCTAGAGGCATATATTCACTCAGACAGCTGCTGACTGCTGAGGTGAACAAGTCCAAGGTCATCAAATAAAATGGCACAGTCTTGATGTAACCAAACCACATGGCAGGCCATTAATTCAAGCAGAGCATGGCAGGCTGCTGAACAACGACACGGCTACATGCAGGGTTCAAGTGTGCCATAGGCTGGAGACCATTCCCAAAGGTGCTTCTGATGTACGGGAAGCAGACCACATACCCAAAGCAGCTACTCAGCTGCTCCAATAGATTCCACCATGGAGTTAATTACCAATCTCACTACATCCAGCTGCCTAGTCACTCAACCAGGCCCAGCCAAATTGACACACAGACTTAACTACCACAAATGCATAAATGAATTCCACCTCTTAGTATCTGGAAACACCGTGGGTTCAAGCATATGCCTAGAGGAATATAATTTTAATTTAAATTTAAGAAAACTTTTACAGTATTTGTCAGATGCTTCATATGCATATGGTAGAGCACACCAAGGAACCCCAAGTTAGGTTCCTCTGAAACATCCTTTGAGGAATTCATGTATAAATCCATACATTATGCTGAAAATTGGTAAATGTTCATACTTTTGGGTTTTTAATTTCTAGGTTTCAACAACTAGAATCTTAAAATGATTCACCATTATCTTAGGAAACCCATTATTATGTTGTTGCTAGGTGCCATTGAGTTGGTTCCAACTCATCACGACTCCAGGTACAACAAAATGAAACACTGCCCAGTCCTGTTCCATCATCATATGCTTTAGCCCATTGTTGCAGTCCTCTGTCAATGACTTCATTGAGGGTCTTCTCTTTTTTGCTGACCCTCTACTTTGCTAAGCATAATATCCTTCTCCAGAGCCTCGTCCCTTCTGACAACATGACCAAAGTACAAGAGGTGAAGTCTTGCCATATTATAGGTTTATTGAATTGAGGCTTATAACGTCTTCAAATAGGGGATTTGAAGGTATATAGTGGTAGCAGTGGTAGCAGCAGCAGCAGCAGCAGCAGCAGCAGCAGCAGCAATAGCAGCTACTAATACTTCTGTACCAGACATTATTATCATTATCCCCATTTTACAATGGTTCAGAGGTTAAATAACTTGCCAAAGCAAAGAACACACAGATTGTAAGCATGAGAAGTGGGATTCAAACCTATGTATCCCGGCTCCAGACTCTAAGGAGGAAACCACTATCAGAGTACCTTTTCCTCGCTGCTCATCCTACCAACTCTCAGATGCTTTTGGTTATGGAGTAGAAACCCTCTCCTTGAGGCCATAGCAAGCTTCCCACTAACTCTGTAATGTCTGCAATAGTTTACAGAGGACCCATGTGTCTTGTGAAAACTGATGTTTTCTGTTATTTCCACAGCCTCTGTTGTTTGTGCTACTTACTGAAATATTCTTTTTTCCTTTTCACCTTAATTTGGTTCACAGCATCAACAAACCAAAAATAGATTGTTTATCTCAGTCTACTGCAAGGATTCATAGTAAAAAAGATTTTGCTATAATTTTGTAGTGCATTGTGTAAAGCTTGGTTTGTCTCCTAACTGGAGCTCTCCATCCTGACTTTAATTAAAGGCCCTTTGAGTGGATGGTCCAGGTTAGACTATATCCTTAGCAAAGAGAGGAGAGATGCTGGTATGCACATTAATGAGGCATTTGGTTGTGGTTCCTTAGCCCCCAGCACTGACCTGACCAGGTGTTCAGAGACAGCCGTTCTGAAAGGGAGTTCAGGCTATGCTTAAAATTGACACTTACACCCAATTTGTGGGAAATTGCTCCAGGGGCTAGTTTGTTGTGGTAGCATTTTGTATTTCACTCTCTTTCCGAGTCTTTCTCTCTCTCTTTCCTTCTAATGACTCTTACTTTTTCTTTTGCTAAAAGAAAAGTGGTTGATCTCAGCTAGTACTTGGACAAAATTAAACAGCTGGGATGGCAAGTAAAGTCACATCATTTAGAAATTTTTTATCTTAGAGATAATCTCCAATCTCTTTCTTTGACAGAGAAGAAAATTGAGTCACAACACATGATTGGCCCAAGTGCACATACAAGAGCTAAAACTAGAATCCATATCAACCAAGATTTCCTGAATTCCAGATTGTTATACTAAAATCTATCTCCAAAGGCTAAACCCAAATATTTTTTAAAATAATAAGACTTGGGAGTCTGAACCACTTATTTTAAATTCAATTATGGTTGCACTCTGTAACTAGATCCCAGAGTAAACGCTACCATTGACTTAAAATTGATTTTGTGCTCCAAGGGAGGTATAAGAAGAAAATATGAATGGGAAGATATAAAAAATCTATAGTCTATGACTCACACCACACCATAAATGGAGTCCTGAGTGTGCTTTCAGGACAGCCTTAACTTTTTTTGAAAGTCTAAAAGTTGAAAAACATGTTTTCCAACAATATTTTGATGGTGGGAAGAGGTAGAGGATTAAGATTTCTAACAGGTTTATGGTTATTTTAGGGATAAGGTCAGCATCTGGGCCTTATTTGTCTAGCAGTAGGTTTTGTGTATAGAAACAATGTATGGAGATAAGGGGTCCTCCTTGAAAGTTTTATTAGTAAGTGTGGGAAAAATATAGGTTGGCGGCTCACTGAAAGACCATGTTGGTCAGGACATGATTATTAAACAATACTATACGTCATTAAGGGAGCTCTGGTGGCGTAGTGCCTAAGGCATTTAACTGTTAACCAGAAGGCTGTTGGTTCAAACACACCAGCCACCACTCCTTGGAAGAAATATTGGGCAATCTACTTCCATAGAGATACCGCTTTGGAAACCCAAGGAGGGGTTGCTATGAGTCGAAACTGACTTGATGGCAGTGAGTTAGAGTATACATCATTAAGGAGCTCTGGTAGTGCAGTGGATAAAGCATTTGGCTGCTAACAGAAGATCAGCAGTTCAAACCCACCAATGACTCCATGGAAAGAAAATGGGGCAATCTACTTCCTTAAAGATTTATAGCCTTGGAAGCCCAGTGGGGGTGGCTATGAGTCCGAATTGACTCAGTGGCAGTGAGTTTGGTTTCGTTTATATATCATTATTCCATGAGAGACCCTTGCCACTTCAGAACATTGCTGTTAAAAGAATAGCATATGAAAATGTTAAAGGAGTTGGGAGTTAAAAAAAGTCCTCCATATAAAGCCCTTGGAGGTTCTTCAAAGTTGCTGGAAGAGAAATTCAGTTATGGGGAAAGCTGCCTTTTGGAGTTAAAATAAACACCAGTGCAGCACAGGATTTAAATTGGCATTTCTCCAAAGAAAATATACAAGTAGCCAGTAAAGACTTGAAAAGATGCTTAATGTTAATAGCCGTCAGGGTAATGCAAATCAAAATCCCAAATGAAGTACTACTTTACCATCTATTAAAATGGCTATAATTAAAAAAAAAAGAAAGAAAGACAGTAACAAGTGTTGACAAGGATGTGGAGATATTAGAATCTTTGGACATTTCTGGTAGGAATGTAAAACAATGGAGCCTCTGGAAAACAGTTTGGCAGTTCCTCAAATGATTAACTGTAGACTTATATGATCTAACAATTCTACTTCTAGGTATACATGGGGAAGAATTGAAAACACATGTCTGTACATAAACTTATACACCAGTGTTCATAGTAGCATTATTCATAATAGCCAAAAAAGATTAAATCATCCCAAGAGTCCATCAACAGCTGAGTGAATAAATACAATGTGATATATCCATGGAATATTTTCTTTGGCCATAAATAGGAATGAATTCCTGATAGATGGTGAAACATGGAAGAATCAGGAAAACATTTAGCTATGTTAACTAAGCCAGATACAAAAGGCCTCATGAGATTTCATTTATGTGAAATGTCCAAAATAGGCAGAGCAATAGAGACAGAGTAGGTTAATGATTGCCAGAGGCTGAGGGGAGAGAGGAATGGGAATGGCTATAGTGTATATGATGAAAATATATTGGATTTAGATAATGGTGATGGTTGCACAATTCTGCCACTACAGTAAAGACCACTAAATTGTACACTTTCAATAGGTGAATTTTATAGTGTGTGAATTATAACTCATTAAAGCTATGACTTTTTTAAAGAATTAAAATAACAGGAAAGAACTTGGCCAGTCAATGGAATTATAGTGTGACTATTTGGGGTGAGGATTTCAGAGATGTTTGCTGCTGTTAACAGGCCTTGGAACTTAATACTATGTACTGTTTTAGCGCAGCTTGGTTGAGTGCAGAACTTAAATTTTTGTCCTGCATTTGTGTTTCTAATCCCTCCAGAGTGATGAACACTTCCCCGAGAGCGTCCTGACCAACGTGGCTCAAACGTCCAAAGGAAGTAGTTCTGCTCTGACCTATCCTCCCATATCTCGGGGCAATTACCCAGAGGATCTGCCGCTACGAACCCTCGGCCCGTTCCAGCCAGATGAGCTTAGTCCTAAAGTGGACAGCAGCCTGGACACACAGAACCTGATCGCGGCCCTCAGCGCCTATGGCGCTCAGAGGCCTGCAGAGCTAGGTCTTGGTAGGGGCTCAGCTCACCTCAGCAGCGTCCCGGTGCCCTCCACTGGCCGCTACGATGAGGCGCCTCCCGAGGAGGACGACTTGGGGGTGCTGTACCTTCTGCAGGCGCGTTTGAGAGCACTGAGGCCTGTCTCAGCACCCACAGCTTTGCAGAAGTGGCCTTCCGCATTGGACGATTCCAAAGAGACCTTCAGCACAGGAGATGGTAAATGCTTCACTTCCCTTTGGTGTGTGTTGTGTGTTTGTTTTTCTGGAACCTGCTCATGGCCAGCCCTTATCAGTATTAATTTTCACTAGTTCCCAGTCATTTGTCAATTAGCTATCATGCTGGGCACAGCTTTTAGGATATCATGGAAGAAAGGAGGAGTGCTGTGAGACAGAGAACTGTCTAGGTCCTCATTTATCTCTCAGGTTTGGAAAAACAGAAGCACTAATAGACATACTGTTGTTGGTAATCGCCACGGAGTGGGTTCCACCTCACTCCTATCTCATGTATAACGATGAAGATTTCCTATTCCTGTGCAACTGTTGGTATGCTCAAATCTGTTGTTGTGGCTATTGTGTCCGTCCATCTCACCCAGAGTCTCCCTCACCTTTATTGGCCCTCAGTTTCACCAACATGTCCTTCTCCAGTAAGTAGTTCCTCCTGATTGTGCATCCAAAGTAAGCAAGTTGAAGTCTCATATAATATTCTGTGAGCCATATGATTATCACAGGCTAATTTTCAGAAGTAGATCACCAGTCTTTTCTTCCATATCTGCCTTAGTCTGGAAGCTCAAATGAAACCTGTCCACCATGGGTGCCTCTGCTGGTATTTGAAATACTGGTGAACATAGCTTCCAATGTCATAGCAACACACAAGCCACCTCAGTATGACAAACTGGCAGATGGGTGGTGGGGTAACGTTCCTACCAAACGTGAGCTCAAGAATTAGGTCTGAAGCAAGCAGTTGCTGAATCTCTTCTGAAGTCTTAATTCAGTGTTTAATTTTTGCCTCTTTTAATCCTTTTTCCTGCAAGTTCACCATTTAATGATGCTGTTAATGAATATGGTAAAACAGGGTGGGAAACATAGCTCCTAGGTCAAATCTGGCCCACATACCTGTCAGCTTCATAGAGCTTTGTAAAGTTGACTGTGAACTCTTTCAGATTAGTCATATTCTGTCATCTTGTCCTATGTCTCACCACTGCTGAGGGTGAAACACATGGCTGCTTCACGTGTTTCTGGTTAACTGTCATGTCCCTAAAAGTACCCAGTCTGAAGTTAGTGATACTCATAATGCAATGAGTGAGTGTATAGTGTAAGGTTTGAACATCCAAACACTGGTTTTCAACATTTTTACTTGAGATATAACCATGTCATGATCGTCACATGGGGGAAGGAGCATCTACTGATTCCTACTCCTTTACACCGTGTACCATAGCAGTGTCCTGACATCCTGCACCAGCCTCTGTGACAAGGTGCCCTCCGGGAAGGATGATGTAGGGGTGCTGTACCTTCCGCAGGTGTATTTGAGAGCACTGAGGCCTGTCTCAGCACCCACAGCCTTGCAGAAGTGGCCTTCCACATTGGGAGAACCCAAAGAGACCCTCAGCACAGGAGATGGTATTTCTAACAGCCATTCTTGAAGACCATTACATCTAAAGTGAGATGCTCATAAAATGAGTTGTTTTTTGAAAACACACAAATGATAAAAGCAAAGAGTCATTTTTTTCCGCATTGACTGAGATTCACATTAATGTTGTTGTTGTTGTTAAGTGCTGTTGAGTCAGCTCTGACTCATAGCACCCTTCTGCACAGTAGAACGAAACACTGCCTGGTCCTGCACCATCCTCACAATCCTTGCTATGCTTGAACCCATTGTTGCAGCCACTGCGTCAATCCATTTCATTGATCATCTTCCTCTCCTTTGCTGGCCCTCTAATTTACCAAGTATCATATCCTTCTCTAAGGACTGGTCCCTTCTGACAACATGACCAAAGAAGGTGAGATGAAGTCTGACCATTCTCCTTTCTAAGGAGCACTCTGGCTGCAATTCTTCCAGACTTTGTTCTTCTGGCAATCCATGGTATTTTCAGTTTTCTTCACCAATATCACAATTGAAAGGCGTCATTAACACTTTCTATTTCCTATACGTAAAAGCCTTCATGAAGTTGTTTGACATCTTTTTATTCTCTCTACATATTGCTATTATTTTAAAACTTTTTATTTTAAGAGTTTGTTTTACATTCAACATTACATGTACATTTAGTTTCACACACCATTTACCTTGCCCAACCTTAACCCAATCTCCTCCCCTCCCTGCCCAGTAACCCCCTCCCCCTGGGCCCCTCATAGTTAAGCACTCCTGTTTGTCTTGCATTTCCTCTGTGTGAATGTTGCCCCTCTGGTACCCTGTGGTCAATTACTCCAAGGGATTTACTTCCATAGAGTATGTGGGTGCATCACCCTGGGTTGAGTGGTCTGCATATACATCTTGTTTACTGTTGGGCTGAGAGCTAGCTCTTGGGAGTGAGCTTGATTCCAGGCCCAGAATGTATCCCAGGACCATAGTATTGGGGGGTCTCACCAGACTCCATCCGACCAGTAATTCTGGTCATTATTGAGTTTTTGGATTTTGTTCCACGTTTTTCCTCCCACTCTATCCAGGCTCCTCCAGATTTGATACTTTCCTGAGTGTTTGGCATTGATAGCTGGGCACCATCTAGTTCTTCTGGTCTCAAGGGCCATTGTGTCCTAGGGCTGATTGCTTCCAAATGCCCTTTTTTTTACACTTTTCTTCATTTCCAACAATAGGAGACCATTAGGTGCATCTCTCTCTCTCTCTGATTGTATAGCCATTATGGCAATTTTAAAATGGAAGGAATGTAAAGTTATAGCTAGAGGGCAGGATATGTGAATCTGCTTTTACCAATCTTAGGAAAAAAAGTATATCCAGAAGCAGATTGTACATTTAACTGAGAATTGTTTGCACATAAATACACCAATATTGAAAAAAAAAAAAAAAAAAAACCTCACTGCTATCGAGTTGATTCTGACTCGTAATGACCCCGTTTAGGTTTCCAAGTCTGTAAAGCTTTATGGAAGCAGACTGCCTCATCTTTCTTCCGTGGAGCAGCAGGTGGGTTTGAACTACCAACCTTTCTGGTAATAGTCAAATGCCTGAACCATTATACCACCATATCTCCTTAAATACACCAATAGTGAAATTAATATTTGTCTATGAGAGGTTGCTAGCCTAGAGTAGTGCCTTGACCTCTAGTATTTTCCCTATTAGGGGCTGTTTTGCCTCTGCTTTAAATCAACCACTAATCTGAGAGATTACTTTTCTTGCTCTGCTGCCTTCTGTACTCCCATTTACTACTATAGAAACTCAGTTAAGCAATCTGTGTCTGCTAATTTGACTTTCAGATGGTCAGTATACTTATTGACCTACAGCTCAGTGTTCCCCTTATGTTGTTGTCTTTGTTATGTGCCGTCAAGTCGGACCCGACTCATAGCAACCCCTCCTTGGGTTTCCGAGGCAGCATCACTATGGAAGTAGATTGCCCCATCTTCCTTCCGAGGCTGGTGGGTTTGAACCACCAGCCTTCTGGTTAGCAGCCAAGTGTCTTAGACACTACGCTACCAGAGCTCCCCTTATACTCGTCTATAAATAAACTACTGAAAGTCACCTTCAGTCTTCTAATGACCAATCAGTGGCCTCTTCTCAGTGATAATTTTCCATGACCTCTCTCCATGGTGCTGGCCACCCCTTTCTTTATATTTTCCTTCCTTCATGCTCGGTGACATCACCTGTTCTCTACTGTCTCTAACCATTCCTTCTCTGTCTATCTCATCTTCTACAATTAAAAAAAAAAGTCCCACATAATCTCCATGAGTCAAAGTTGACTCTACAGCAACTAGTTTTATCCTACTTATTGGAATAAAATACAAAACCAAACCAAACCCACTGCCATCGAGTCGATTCAGACTCATAGCAACCCCTATCGGGTTTCCAAGACTGTAAATCTTTATGAAAGTGGGTTGCTTCATATGCCTCCTGTGGAGCAGCTTGTAGGTTCAAACCATCTACCTTTTGGTTAGCATCCCAATGCCTTGACCACAGCACCACCAGAGCTCCTTGCTCATTGGCACAGAAATAGATAAATAATGTTGTCCCTACCAAAAGAGACTTAAAATCTACCCAGAGAGCCAAAGTACATTTGCAAATAGATTATGAGTGCCATACCTTTACTCATGCTGTTCCTACTACTTGGCATGTTTTTCTCTTCCTCTTCATTTGCCTGGTGACTTCCCAATCTTCATGTCTTCTGAGACATGCCTATTCATGACCATCCTCTTTGGAAGTCCTCTTTCTACATTTCAATAACCCTCATTATCCATATTGTTCAGTTTGGATTTTTGTGTTACCTTTCTTGGAAGGAAGATTGAGCAATCTACTTCAATAGATATACCGCCTTTGAAACCCAAGGTGGGGTCACTGTTAGTCGAGATCAACTCAGTGGCAGTGAGGTTTTTTTTTTTTTTTTTTTCCCTTCTCTCTCTATAGAACCATATAAATATGGTTTTCACAGCAGTACTGTATGCATTAAAAAAGTATTATGTAAAATACACTTTACAATGAAGCCTATGCATACTTCACTCAGTTTCAACAAATGACAACTCATAACCTCTCTCACTACCTCTATATACTCCGCACCTCTTTCTACTTCTACCCTGTATTATTTTAAAACAAATTTCATTCATGAAATAATTTCATATGTAAATATTTCAATATCATATTGATGAATTACAAGAATTCTTGTATAAACTAACCACCATAGCTTTATCACACGTAAAAATTAATACTTTCTGAATGACATCAAATATCTAATTAGTAATCACATTTCTCAATTGTCATCATCATTCTTTTGAAGTAGGGTCCAAAGAAAGGCTTGGTGGATACAGCTTTTAAGCCCTTTTAAATCTATACAAGATTTGTCCTCCCTCTCTTTTCTTTCCTAGCAATTTTTTTTTTCTTTTTTAAAAAAATCTAGGTCATTTATCTCATAGAGTTTTAACATCCTGAATTTTGTGGTTTATATCCCAAAGATAATATTGTTCCCATGCTTCTGTATTCTTTGTAAATTGGTAGCTAGATCTAGAGATTAGTACCTAGATCACTTGTGTTCAATGTTTAGCAAGGATACTTCCTAAATGGGA